AAAAAAGCAACTTTTTACGTGCCTGTATTAATTTATATGATACAAAACAACACGAAACACAATTAAATAAATATGGTTAACTATTCATAGGTTGGTATTAATATATACATTGATTAACTATTGAGTTCGCCGAGGAAATTTCATATTGCATTTGCAGCCGCCACGTAATGGTCATGGCGGGGTGATGGAAATCTTATTATCTAGGCGTATAAGGGTAAAACTAATAGAATTATTGTGTGTTTGAAGTGCGAGTGTAGTTGTGCAAACCAATTGGAAAAAGCTAAAAGTCTCACTTTAGGACTTAACAATTCAGAACGTTGTGTACGGCGATGGTAATTTTATATTGTGTCGTCTGGCACAGGAAGACTGGAGATCGAATGAAAAGCATAATATTCAATTGAAAGGACAAAAAAACGGACTTCGAATAATATGAATAGATTTGTATAATTCGATTACATGCGATCAATGGCAATAATATTATATAATAGCATTATGCGCTATGTCGTTTCAGATTGAATCATGTCCTTTGACGTAGGTAGATTGTATTATTTTTATCTTTTTATTTTATTAAATACTGCAGAAATCAGTGAAATCGTACAAAACATTTTTCTGGTTCGGAGACACCGTTGAATATCAGCAATAGTCTATAAGCCCATCTGGAAAAATAAATATGCGTGCACATATAGCAATATACCATACATGATTAACTCATAGATATAGATACCATTATGCAATATTATACTATTGTAAATGTGCTGATATGCATCTAAAACCATTAGACGTGTCACGAAAACTGAAAAGACAAATGCGTTTAAATGAAACACGTATACTATATCCAGGACATGAAGATAAAATAAATTTATATCTACATAAAATACATATTTAATACGATATCTGCCCACCCAACATTTGTCGAAAAAACAAAACAATAGTTTAATGCATGCATTAGATACATCATCGTAAACTTTAATATATACACCTATTATAGTCGCCTTGTATTTTATACATTGTATTATTTCGTTCATTGGGTTATGAAATCTCAACCAGGCAAATTTGATAAAATTCACGTTAAAAACATAAAGATGGTAGTTTTATCACATTTATCAAGGGTGGTTTTATTATATATTTTAACAATAATTTTTTAATTTAAATGTCTACATGTTAGTGTGTTTAAAATATGAAAACTGAAAATTCACTTTAAAACTGAGGTATTGGAAAAAATCAACACAGTATATAAATAAAAAGTAAATTTTGACGTTTAACAATGCGTTACACAAGTAACCTCTTAAACGACTGTCGAGTAATAAACTGTTACTAATAACATATGCTTAAACTTCGGAGAGGCTAGAAGTGTCAAGTGTCATTCTTTTAAGTGATACTATAAATTAAACTTACCTATCATAAGTAAGGCGACCGTGAGGTGTTCTCTACCGGAAGCTCTGGTAGCACCCAAGACAGTACCCACGAGTGCCGAACATATCCCAGCTATGAAAACGATGCTGATGAACCACCTGATGGATACCGTACTAGTAGCGTCTGGTAACGTCAGTAGACCACAACACGATTTGGGTGTGTCTTCTTCACTGCAATAGTGTAACGATCTGTTGGAAAACATAAAACTATTATAGCAAACATTTTCAATTAGTCATTTAGTCCGCAGACAAAATACTATAGTGATGATGATGATAATGATAACAATAATGGGACAATTTGTCGACACGATATATTATATGAGGCAAGTTTACCGGCCGATCAATTGTCACGAATCGAGATATTCTCGAGCTTATACAGTTCAACTAAGTGCCTATACCCGACGGCAGACGAAGTGTCAAGAGGTTAACGAATAATAAAATAATAGTTCACATTCGTCACTTGAACAATATAATATTTTAATGTTACAACTATTCACTCTGGAGAGTAGGTATATTCGTCGTAGTTTATATACGAACAGCATGAATATTAATTATTTATTTATTATCCGTTTATAATGGTGAGAAAAACGATAGCGCATCACAAGATGTAATTTATTGTTTATCTATATATTATTTATCGTCGGTACAATACGAGCACTAATAATGCAATACTGCACATATTATATAAGATTGGCTAATGTTTTTTTTTGTTTTGTTCATTAGATTCACGCTCAACGTATACGGTTCTTGATTCATTTCTACAAGTCTCGAAATTAATGACCGGACGATTCAGTCGGGGTATAGAATAGGTATAACACTGTACCAACCTATACCGTTTAATTGAAATCGTTAGGACGATGATTATTTTTACGGTTTATCGTCGTATTTAATATAAATATACCGAGACGGTATTTATCGTTTATGGCGTGTACAATACACGTTTATAAATAATTCAATGCGTTTGTGAGTGTAATTCTTTTTTTTTTATTAACTTATACTTCATAATATTATATTCAACGTTTGTAGTCTGAAGCATTAACCCAAACTACACATTATAAATGGAAAACAATATCTCCGCGTATAGTAGCTGTTAAAAAAATAACAAGTACACCTATACATACATACATATATATATACACCGTGTGCATGTAAGTATTTACACCGGAAAACTCGTACTATATTGTTGTATATTATAATGTTATGATATATAATGTATAATAGGAGCGCGCTGTTTTACAATAAAATGTAAATGAGTTTTTTCCTTCTTTATGATGATATTTTATCTCGTACGATTATTATGTTATGTGGTTATTTGTATTATTTGGTTCACGAATGGAAACCGTATCAAACGCGGACGACGAACGTCGTTCATTAGCATAAAATATTACATCCAATCGCATTATCATATTATACCCGAGTGCTGCGGACATACCTTCGGCAGCGTTGTTATTATTATGATGAGAGTCACAGTGTCAGGAGGTASGGCGTACACGGGGTGCAATAATTAAAATACACAACTGAATGGCTTAGTTTTTTTTTCGTTGTTTTTTTAACCGTCGTTTTGTCTCGGTTTCAAACACAAAACTGGCCGTGGTAAACACTTCTCGTCGGCTTTGTGTTTTTGAACCGTCACAAATAAGATACATACATTGCACTGTGTATACCTATAAGCGGTTTTCGCGTTTGAATTATATAATTCGTACAAGTGCTGCAGCACGTGATATGTATACATAGGTATAATATAGTATAATCACATAATATTATACCTACCTACCTATTATMATAATTATTTTCTTCAAAGGGTACGGATCGTATCCTGGAAAATATTGTGCTCTACGAAAGCCTTGTGTACATCATATTATTATTATATACTCCTCGTCAGTATATTACGCCTCTAAATTCAGCGTATATATATATATAAATGGGTATATGCATATTATGCAGCTAGTACGAGATGATCAGATATATTATGAATGTGAGGCGGAGATCCGGCACGTACGCACGTGGCYGTGTGATGTTGAGTAGGTATTTTATCTGACCTGCGTTCAAGGTGACGAGCCCTAACCTGCAAGAGATGAATAGAGACATTTGAAAATGTGCCGCTACAAGAGGATGGAAAAGATAAATTGGACAGATAGAACTTTTAATGGAGRAGTTTTAAAAATGGCATATGAGAAGAAATCGCAGACTTACAGAAGTGGTGAAATTAATTACTATGTCGTATTTTTTAAGGCACGATGGACTACACTGCTATTACTAATTTTAGAAGGAATAATCGAAGGATGTAATTCATATTGGGAGCCGAATAGGAAGGCTTAGTGATGGGGATACATGGAAGTCGCAGCAAACCAATCATCAGATTGATTACTGGAGAAAAAGAGGAAGACGGACGCCTCGTGTCATCATCGTCGTCATCATATCATAATGAACTCCTCATCTGTATATTGTACGTACGTCTCTATAAATTCAGCGCAACCAAGTATATATCATAATATGTATGTATGCATATTATGCAGAGCGATCAGATATTRTATATGAGGTGGAGATCCGGCACGTAGGTACGCACATGGCCGAGTGATGTCAAGTATATTATTTGACCTACGTTCAAGGTGACCAGCCAGAGATTCACGAACACGGATCGAGGCGGCRGCGTCCGGTTTTGAGATCGCCCTCGGGCATCGACGGTTCCGACGTATAAAATGACGTATACCAATATGACGGGTTRGATGYGACGACGCCRCTAATGAGCGGACGAATCGCGAGCGGTTTTATTTTCGTACGATAATTAGGTGTTATACATATAATATACCTACTCTCGTTTTTTTTCTTCGTCATAAATTATGCGCCGTCGTGATATCCCGTCACTATTTATAATAATATCATATCATTATACACAAACTGTGGCAATCGTCGTCCGATTGAGAAGAAAATCGACCTGCCTATTATTAGACGCGATAGGTAAATAATAATAATAACAGGTATAATTATTGCAAAACCGATTGAACTTGTGGAGCAGAACAGATCAATAACACTTTCTCTTAATGATTTTTTACCCGGAGGTGTTTTGTACAATTAATTTCCATTATACCGCGTGTAGCCGAGTAAAAATGTACTTTYGTTCAAAAACGAAATCGCATATTATTATAATAATGTCGTGTTTATCCAATCTCCACCCTCTACGTAAGTAATAATATATATATATATTTAGGTACATATATGATGTAGGATCTGACTAATGAAGTGGTCTGAAAACAAAGTGCGATCAACCGAGATGAACGGATAAGAAGAGATCGCCGACCGTGGTTGTGCGCGTTATTTATAATAATAATAATATTATCGTCGGATCGCTGAATGATAATTATATTAAAAATTTAAAACACCACGACAACACGTAGACCACGCAGTAGTTAGCGTTCGACGTTAGATTAATAAAAATAAGTTCGCGTGTGCGCGTTTGAACTAGAAGGTGGGTCGTCCTCTTCCGGTTTGATAGAGTCGTAAAATAAACCCATCTCTTAAAAAGCCGGTCATGCATTTCGTATGGGATTTGGGGTGTGCTGCAGTGTATGGGTTAGGTACAGACTGGAAAAGGGTGTTCGGATGAGTCTTATTCCTCTGGGGTTTCACGAGGAACTCATTCGACACACCCCTTGTCGGTAGGAAAAAAAACCGTCGAATTTGTTGCCGCTCCCCACGTTTCTCCTCATTGTAATTCAGTTAAACTTTTCATAGCGCAATAACTGCAGAATGAACAAAAATTTTATAGCCCGAACGAACCGCATTACGCATTACGCTGCAGTAGACAATAATATTTACATATTTATAGATAATTCGACCGAGTATACGATAATCATAATTATTGTAAATATCCCGCACAGCAGCAAMTTTTTTAATTATTTCGTTTACATTATTATATCTACTCACGTATTCATGTGTACTGTCGTCAGAATTGGATTATTTCGTACCCGTCGTTATTCATTAACAGAGTATTATATTAGTTGACTGTGTATATCTAGAGACCGATTTTCAATAGCAAAGTAAAAAACAAAAATAAAAGAATTTTGTAATTTTTAATTAGCTTTTTGAAGAAGAAATGTATGTTAATTAATGTCAAGGTTTGTGTTTTTTTTTAATTGTTCAAGTGTTTGAATTGGTTAATAGATATTATAGTGTGCTAAATCGAAGGATACGCGAAGAGTTCTTTTATTCGTTGTTATTGTAGCATTTAATTTACTAGCACGTTTCAATGTTACCACGTGCTTTTGGTTAATTTTTGTTTTGTCTTTTAACGAACAAGACAATAATTAGTCTCGTCCATTTTGATTAGTTCCGATTGGGGAGATGATTTTACATAATAATTGATTGCCAACATTTTCAACTAGGAGTATATAATATATAGTAGAATATTTCTTTTGTCAAGCATCATATTTCAATCCCCGAACAATCAATTGTGTTTTCCCAATGGGGTATTATTATGTACAATGCGAAATATTACGTTGGTGTTGTTGGTTTATTATTATTATTTTTTTTATTTCGAATTATTTTTTTCATATCATAAAACTATTCGAATCGGCCCATTGCGGAATAATACGTCAGCGGTGCGAACGATATGTGAGTGTAACGTTACATAAGTTGCAAAGGTTAACCTAACAAAAAAGTAAAACTCCATATCCATCTGTGGAGATACGCAGTATTATATTTGACTCGACAATGAGATCTGGGATGAAAAAATCACAACACGAATGGGCGGGCAACAAACAAAATACCTAAATCATTTATTCGTTATTCCCACGTGATTTTTTTTTCACGACTTTTTGCATTCTTACGTTTTTCATTATTGTTATAACAATAATTTATTTTATTTTTTTGTAATTTTGATTATTTTGTCATAAACATCACACTTGTTCAGCGAACCGTACATCAGCTATATGTGAATTATAATAACAATGATTCTTTTGTAAATAATCGTTGCAGCTGGACAAAGTTCCGACGTATTCGACAATATTCCGTTTTGATCTGATGTAGTGATGTTTAAAATACAGTTCGCGTATTCTGCTGTACGAAAATATTATATGTTAACTTTTWAGAACATCTTACGTGTATGTAGTGTATTCTTGTTATTTTTCTAATATACAGACTGACTGGGTAAGAATATTAAAAAAAAAAAAAATACCATCAGAATATTTCTA